TCACCAGAGCTCGACACAAGTGGCTTATAAGCAAGCTGGGTATCATTTTTGGGATAAAAAGCAAAGGGGATATCGTTTTCGTGGCCGAAGAAACTCAAATTAGGTTGCGTTTTTTAGTCGACGTTTCCTTTTTCGAGGGTTTTAACGTTTAGGGTTTAAGATCGAAGGAAACTTTGAAATTTTGCGGAAGTCAAGGGGGATTTTGTCTTTTTCATTTTTGGAGAGCCACCTTGTGCCGAAGCGTGCTGCCGATTCTGCAACATGCTCCGGACAAAACCGGTTATTGTGTCACCACACAACAATCATCACCTAACAAATCAGTTCATACAAATTTGAACAGTTGCCATGCTTTACTAATTACCATTTATTGTATTAAACGGACTTCCTGAGTGAAGCAATTGCATTAGCCGGTCCTTTGAAGCTATCTCTGAATGAAGAGATGGATGCGAGATGCTTGTTCACATTCACCTCATCACCCATCCAAGTAGGAGGATTTTCGAATTTTCACATGTTCTGCATTGTCTATCGAAAATCAGAATTACGAAAGGCTCAAGTTTGATACTGCCTTTGAAGATTAGCCTTTAGAACTTGCACGCATACGAGAACGAGGGGGGTCAAAAATCGCCTTCAAATTACCTTGCAATCTGGAGGCTAAAATTATAAGCAGCAGTGGTGTATTGCCTTATAGTGGAACGATAAGATGAGCTGTAGCGACGTAAATTCATGTACAAACATTGTGTTTAATTTCCGTTATGGGGCAAGTGATTAGTTCTATACGGTATTATTCCAACCCACACATGAGAAAAATGTGCGCTAAAAAATGGAAGGTTGGAGGAGGCGGAGTTAAATGTTTTGCTCAGAATTATAGCGCGAAGCAGTAAGAAAAGCTAGAGGTTAATGCGTCATTCCAACTTACTTGTTCTGCCAAGACATCTCTCATTGTAGTCAGACGACTGAAGAAGTTTTGGACGTCATAACTTTGCATTTCATATCCTTTTGTATAGTGGCTGAAATCTTCAATCGCTTTCACGTATATGACAAAATGGGGTTCTTACTTCGGATTTATGACTGGGTTACGCGCCATTGCTCTCTGCATCTCAAGCCCGTTCGGAATATCTGCAAAGAGAATTTATGCAAAAATCTAAACTATGAGACTAAGCATACCAGTAGTAGCAAAGACAGCTATCTTGGAACCGTGCTTTCTCCTCAATTCAAGCGCCATTGCTGCTGATGCAGTTGGAAAAAGCTCATTCACAATTACCAAATCGTAAGTGGTATTCATGACAGTTTCAAATGAAGCTGAAAGAGCAACAGAAGTTCCAAAAAATCGAAAACTAGAGCAATGCCAAAATCTTGTGTCTTTGTTACCCTCTCCAAGAGACCAAACTAGGTACTCAAAACCGACTAGATGAGACGACACATATCCTGATGGTTTCATTTCTTGATACCAAAACAGCTTTTCGACGCTAAGCATGTCACTCGTCTTCTGCTGAGCTGGAAAGAATCTGAGCTGTATAGCAAGCATACGATTGCAGCAACGAACTCACAGGTAAGAACAGTTTCCAAGCTGTTCACTCCTTTTCCGAATGATCCTAAAGGCTTTCGAGCCATGGAATAGATAGTGACTGCATGTCCTTTGGCTGCGAGCCTGTTCAGATGTACTCTTCTGATTACAGGGTGAAATGAACCCCACGTTTAACCATAAATTCCTTTCCTAGCAGTTTTCACAAATCATAATGTTTCCGTAGGTAGCCTATAGTAAGGGAGAGTGATCGGTAAGTTGTCCTGTGCTATATACAGGCCATTTATAAAATCGTGACAACTAGTTGACTGCGGTCTTCGCGCGGCAGGATCATAATAACTGATACAAAAAGGCATCACCTCAACGTACAACTCAGTCACTTCCAGTGTGTAGGTATTTAGCAAAACTGAGAAACTGCAGTTTCCGGAAGGCGCGTGCGTTAGCGTGCGGTCGCGCCATCGTCACGATTTTTCGAACGCCTTAGGCCAAGGGCATACCTCGCGCGATTTCAGTCGCCACGCGATCTGGCAATTTGCCAGATATCTTCAAATTCAATACTGGCAGACCCCAAATGCACAGCATGTCAAGTTTTCGTAGGTTGATAAAATGCCCTATATTTCGCACATTCCGAAACCCCTTACGATGAGTTATGCACAATTGGAGTACTGCCAAATCGCCTCGCGACTGAAATCGCGTGAGGTATGCCCTTAGCCTTATATGTTGAAGCCACCCCAAAAAACGTCGGAAACTCTTAAGAGCTGTACATTCAAGTGATTGAATATTGATCAAACACTAGCTAAGTTTTTTTTCTATTTACTAGACATAGATTTTGATGTATAAAGGATTCAAAAATACTAGGAGTGGAATTCGGCGCTCATTTGGCAGTTTCCAAGGTAACTTCTTTTGGACCGGCAAGCTAGACCTCCGAGACGGATTTAAAACTTTTGAGTCAAAATTTAGCTTTCGCTTTACTTCAAAAAGAAGGATTAACTCTCTTCTTGTTGTCGACTATTAAATTTAGCTCTCATACTAATGCCATTTCCTAGTAAATGCTATATCAGAATTGAACTGAGAATGTCATTTTTTCAATTTTCTAGTTCAGTGACCGAAAAATGAAAGAATCGCAAACCGCATTTGTAAGGCTGGCGACTGAGAAATAAGACTTTCCAGTATTAACGTTGGCGGTGATTTCTGTTGCACTTTTTATTTTTATTCCCTAAAATCCTAAGAAACTTTTAAAAATCCTTATGTTTAAGGAGTGTTGACGGGGTGCAAAGATGTACCCATCAGTACTGTTGGATCCGTGGTCTATGCGCAAAACACCCATTTGTTGGAGGGAGTACATTTTATGGACATTTTTGTCAACGGGCTAGCATTCTTCCAAGTGATCAGGTACAGACCGGGGGATGTGGAAACGGGCACGGTAAGGACCGTAATTTCTCGCGAACATAGGGGGATGGCACAATCATGTCCGCACACGTTCCCATGAGCTACATGGTGAACCATGTCAGCGCACATTCGCATTTCAGTGTGGAGAAATTTTTTATATTTTATTTTATATTTTTTGACATATTTTTGGAAATTCACAAAAACTATTTCCAACCTCTGCGAATCAAATCCTACACGATGCACACGAAAAAAGAAATTTTCGACCAGTTTCTAATTTTTTCGATTCATTTTTTCACCCCTCGTTTTTGACATGCTAACGGTACCAAAGTGCTGCCATAAAAGACACGGTGCGAAAATGTGCTTCAAAATAATTATGCGAAAGGAAAAAGACAGTTACATGCAGAGAGAAGAACCAAAGAAAAAATGTCAATTTTGAGTACGCTTACAAAGTTGTCGTGAGCTTGCTAGCTATTCGTACGTTTGCGACATCAGCCATGCTGTTGTTTGCGTCCTGCCATGCTCTACATTTAGCAAGTTTGAAGATTTTGGGAAGCTTCCAGAATTTCTCAGACTTTCATAAAAGAATTGTAACACAAATTATCCGCCAACCTAATATTTCAAAAATAGCCCTGCTGACTAAAACCTGCGTGGGAGTTTTGATAATTCCACCATGAAGGTCTCTAGTATGTAAGTTTCTTACACCATGCCTTTTCTAAATAAACGCGACACACAAGTTTCAAGCGTACTGTCATCGGAACTAAGAATAATTTTGATTGATGTTTCGAAATATTCCAAAACGGGCACTTTATAGAACTGAAAACTTGCAGAATATATAACTTAGCTCTTGTACTCACCTCTCAGCGAGAAACTGCATAGAAAGTCCATGACTTTTCGAGTTCCACATATTCAAAAACAAGATATTGGCTGCGAAGCAACTATGGATTATAACAGCAACAAAGATCCATGTCACCTTCAAAACTCTACATTGACAAGAGAAAGAAGCCCGATTGAGACTGTAAATCTATGTAGGTATTAGAAAAGTAGCGTAAAAAACTAGTCAGCTTTGCCAGCTTTTTTACATTGAGGAACTCACCACCATAGTGTTGTTAGGTATTTAGACTTCGATGGTATGAAACTAGTGCGACCGGGAAAGACAGACCAAAGTGTAGACGATAAGACAGATAGTTGTTTTGTGTTTCATACTCAGTTATGTTGTTGTGCCCTTGACATCATGTTTATGTCAAACCCTTGTTTGACACTGCTCCATGCGTGTGCCATATGTCCGGAAACACATGTTTCAATCGCCATAATGCAATTTTCATATGTTTCACGAAAGATTTCAAGATATAGTCTATTCATCTTTTTGAGCTCTTGGATAAAGTCTACTTCATTTGCCGTGAATTTGAGAGAAAGTCTAGCTAAAAAAAATTACCGGTTGAAGTCCATTTAAGTGGAGTAAAATTCGCGAACAATCGAACATACAAATTACCACAAATGCGCTGGAATTTTTATGGAATGAGAAATGACACATTGCATAGGGGATATTAAGTCATTTCCAGAAAGACTTGAATCTGCGCAGTATCCAATTACTGTACAATTGCGGATATCCGAAAAAGTTATAAATTTTGCGCCTGCTTCTATTGTGCAATTGCACAAACATACCAGTGGCGAACTAAGGGGGAGTTCAGAGGCGCTATTTTTGAAAATTACTAGTTATAAGAATGTAGCCAAGAATGCTCAGGGACTTCTTCATACTTGTAAATGACTAAAATAATTTTCAAAATTTTTTAAAAACAAATTTGGCCTTGCAAAAAAAATTTTCGGGGGCGTGGCGGCAGACACTCCTCTTTTTTCAAATTTCGGGATTATGGGCCCGCAAAAACTATTCAAAACCACCTAAACATTCATTCTAAAAAAAATTTTATCGCCCATCTTTGACTCATATACAGATCCTTCTCAAGTTTTGAATTAGCACCAGTCATTACAAATTGTTCTGACATATGAACTTTTATTGCGAAACAACCAACAACAACGAAATAACAAACAAAACATCCAAGTACAAAAACGAGATCCACGAGAGCAATGTGCCGCGATTCTTGTAATAAAACAAATATTTGTCGTCGATTTTCAAAAGTCGCATGGCCCAGTAAGATCCATAATCCAAGGGTTCGATTACATGGTCCAAATATAGTCGGTAAAGCTGGAAGACATACGAACCAGTTAGCATAAGTTATGGTAATGGTATATAGTTACCTTTTCTGTTCGGTGGCCATAACTAGGCTTGGACAAGACTTTGTTAATTTTGAGAGACAGTTCTTCTGTGGTAACATTCTGAAAAGGAAAAAATTGGAAAATGAAGACAATAAGATGAACAACGAGTAACAAATCCAAGGCTATTTACAAACTTTCCCAATAGATTTATCGAGTTTGTGAATTATGAAATTAGAAATAATGATCAAATTAAAATTAGTGTCTGATAAGCTTCGCGGAGCTCCTGGAACTCAGAAAAAAATCTCTGAAGAACTGACCTTTTTGTAGATCGCTTCAGCTACGCCCAACTTCTGCGCAAAAAGCGCATTCCGTGGTTGATCTGCGAAGAAAGGCATAAACAGCATGGCCGTGTTCGAGCAAATCCCTTCTTTTACACTGGAAAATGCTAAATGAAACAACGTAACGTTAAGAAGATAAATGATCATTGCGGATGCAAATTATAATTTGCATAAACTGCGATTTCGAGTTTGATGCACAAAATGTCAAGCACTAACACGCTCCACCTCAAAAATGGAATTTTGAATCCATTCATAACTTCGTTCAGAATGACAAATTATTATGTTGAAGAATGATTTAGGATTGATACTAGGAAAGGACTTATACTCAGGATCAACGTTTCAGTCACTAGAATGCTCAGGCTAAAGCTAGGCATTTTTTGCCTTCGCACGACCGTACACGTGATGGTACTGTAGGTGTACTGTAGGAGGAGGACAGCCACGTCGCAATCATGTCTGTACACTTATTGATCTAGTTTAGATTTATAAGAGATTCGCGCGAACCGGGACTAAACCCTTCAATCAATGAGATATGATCTCTCCAATTCATGAAATACTGATTGACTACGAAGCAAGAACGAGCTAGGTTAAGGACGAAATTTTCCTGTTTGCTTTTGTTTTAATTAAACTTCTTCTGAATTTTAGCCCGTAGAAATTCGATTTTCTTATAGAAGACGGCGGCAAATGTCAAGTACCTTTTCAGTCCACCGTGGGTAAAAAATAAAATTGTTTTGTTATGTGAGAGTATGTCGTTCTGTGGAGACCATTTGAGCAGTTTCACATGCGGTTTGACGTTTTTTACCTATAAATATCGTACACACTATTCAAAAATCCTATAGAGTTTGAGCTGTGTAATCACCTCCGGACCAGAATAAGTAAAGATCACTCTATAATCGGTCAAATTGTTCAGGACCGTGAAGAATGACGTGATTACCTAAATTTGGGAAGTCTGAGACAAAGAAGCATAGGTAGGTAATCCTCACCTCTGCGGGTGCCACATCCCAATCAACTATCGAACCAAATGCTACATAGATGGTTCCTTTTGAAGCTGGATCTTCCACAAATCGGCGCAGGTCCGACGGAAGCTCTCGAGCTCCTAAAAACTGAAAGCCTGTCTTCAAAGCGTATCAGAGGTCAAGTTACTTTGGCAGTGTTCTCCAACGTGAATAAAGCTTCTGCTATGCGATGCAGGAAAACCGAAGGCTGTAGGGTAGTCCATAAAAGTGGCATGAGAACCCTAGAATAGTTATCTAATGAAAAAATTCGATTGCAATCTATCTAATTTCAAACCTGATAGATTTCCTTGAAGGAGCAGCTATGGTTGAGCAGTTTGCCTGCTTCTTTCAGCCAAAAGTTGGCAGCCAAGTTGATGTAGTACTGTAAGGATACTGTAATATCTAACTGGAAGATGATTGCGAGAATTGTTGTAAGAAATCAAGAAAAAAGTAGTCATAAACTTACTAAAATCGAAAATAAAAATGAAACAGTAAAAATAAATTAATGAAACAAAATATAATATTGATGAAAACAACGAAAAAATCATGGGGAGTGGCAATAAAATTTTTGAAAAATTGACGAAAGGAGATTTTATGAGCATTATTATTTGCACAATCTTTGATTCAGCTGGCTTAGCTGCTGGAAGGCGGGGCTTTTTGACCTAATTAAAACCGCTCGCGACCGCGACGCAATCGGCGTCTCTGTCGCGCACATGCTCTCTTATCATTATTAGCCTTAATTGAGTCACGAAGCTCCGCTTCCAGCAGCCGAACCAGTTGAATCAAAGGGTACACGAAATCAGAAAGGAACCTTCCTTTCCTTCTCCTACTTTGAAGCTTAAAAGACGCGGGAAACTAAAAAGGGAAGGGAGCAAAGGGGTGGATATATTCACGAAATTCAACAAATTCCTCTTCTTTAGTCGTTTAACTTCCAAAATTAGATCAAGTAAAACCCGCGTCCCCGATGACATAGTAAGCAGATACCATACCTGTTCTGTAAGTGCGTCCCATACAGTTTTGAGACGCCCGAAGAAGTCATGTATGTCATAGTTTTGTACTTCGTAGCTCTTCGTATAGTAACTGAATAGAAAATCGTACTAGGAGTTTAGGCGGTTCGTCTTAGCGAAGGAAGAATAATTTTACCTAGGGTTGATTACTGGATTCCGTCCAATAGATCTGTACATGCCGTAAATGCTTGAAAAATCTGTGAAATATCGATGAAGTCATTGCCAATTCACAATTCTTGCATTAGTTTTACCGTACCCGTGGTGGTCATAAGAGCAAATTTAGTCCCGAATTTTTCGCGTAACTTCAGCGCCATCGCACCCTGAGCTGTCACAAACAACTCGTCCGCAATCACCAAATCGTACGAAGTGTTCATAACAGTTTGGAAGGCTTCTAAAAATATAGGTAGATTACGGTAAGATTACTGTAACGGGCGCATCCGACATCGGCTCTCACCATCTTCAAGAGCGAAATTCAAGTACTGAAATCCGACATGATGTGGCTGTTCAAAGAGCTCCGGCGACATTTCGAAAAACCAGAACACCGCTGCTACGCTATCCGGCTCATTTGTTCGCTGGTCGGCTGCAAAAAATAAGGATTTATAATTATGGCAGAAATAAGTAAAGTATGTACTCACGTCGAAGTACGGTTTCCATAGTGTGCACTCCACGAACCATTACTCCCAAAGGCTTCGCAGTCATCGAGTAAATTGTGACGTCATTTCCTTTCTCGGCCAATCTGAAAAAATTTATTGGGTCGAAAACATAAGTTTTATTATACTTGAAGGAAAAAACGTTCACAGTTATCTCAAAGAATTTTTTTCAACTATTATACAAATTAAACTATGTTGTATTATTCGCTTTTTATTTCTGAGTCTGAATTAGCGATGGCACGTAATATCTTACTTTGATTCGGAATTGCTGATTATTTATTCTAGCAGATTTTTGTCCTCTTATTTTCCAATCTTTCCAGTCTTGCATCAAAATCTAATGAAAAAGTATATGTTTCAAAGGAAAAAAACGCAAAGGTTGTAAGCAAACATTTGAAAACACCATGATCAAAAGCTCCAAATGGTATTTTTCCAAATTTGCAGTGAAATTTATTGGAAAAAAATCTATATCTCAAAAAACATTTTAACATTTCAAACAAAATTACTAACATATTCGGAAACATCGGGATAAAAAACCTCACTTCCATATGCCAATTTTCATCCCAATTGGACGAAAATCGCATCTGATTCTTGATTTTGAAATTTCAATAAAATCGTGATTCCATGCGCTGCAGGATGAGGCTAGCTACAGTCGCACATATCTCCTCTATTAACCCATTGACGACTATCTGTATCAAGCTTTTTGCCTCCAGGGACGATGGTAACCGGTGGCCCACACCCCTTGCAAAATCATATACTTTCTAAGCCTAGTATTTTCTCCACAGTTCAGTATTTTTTATTTTTGTTTTCTTGGAATCTGTGGTCTTCTTCGTCCAGAATATGATTGTAGCTGCTTACAAAACAACTTCACGTTTCGTAAATAATCACAAAACTTTCCCACGCCGAATGTGTGCAAAATCTCGTCGTCCCTCAGCGCCGCCACACAAAATCAGTCGTCGTTGTCAATGGGTGAAGGTACAAATTGGGTGCAACGTAGCATTGCTCACAGTTCTTGACCTCCATGACTACATCGTGGCAGGTCTTTGTTGGGGAGATAAGTTCCGTTTCCTACCTTATCTTCTCCAAACAATGCAAAGCAGCGCAAAAAGAACCAGCAAGCTAATTTGCCGTTTTTTCATGTTTAAACCGTCATTGAAATTATGCAAACATTTTTCTCTACTTTGTCCTTAGAGCATCCAACTGTAAACCCACTGTACTGACAGTAAACTTGAATGTTCACAAAAGTTCATATTCCATAAATAGCAATGAAACGACACATATACCTCTCGGCGAGAAACTTCATCGACAGCCCATGACTTTTCGAATTCCAAGTGTTCAGAAAAAGTATGTTGGCGGCGTGGACAATTTGACAAAATTGGACAGCGATTAGCCATTGGATCTGAAAGGGCGGCAATGATTGAGGGAACAACCTTGATTACGTACTAATGGAATACGCAAAATCATTCATATCGGCACTCTAAAAGGGTTTGGCTCAGAAATATGGAACTATATGGGAATATCGGAGGCTTTCAAAAATTAATGCAGAAGAGAATTGTCTTAAAAGGATTCCACTAACTTGTATTACCGTATTGCCGCTCAATTTTGGAAAAAAAATTATTTCAACTTTTTCTGTGGCGACGTATCTATCACGAAGCTTAGAAAGTCAGGGATCTGAATTCTGAACTTCATAAGGCTCCGAATGAATAAATCAAGAAATTTGAAATATTAATCTGAATGCTCTTTTTTTTCATGAAACACTGTCTCACTGTCTCACTTCCTATTCAAACCTATTTACAATTCAAACCTTGAGTTTGCAATTCAGGCACGTTAGTGACAGTTTGATTGAGGATGCGTGTGTCTTTAAATGAAAGGTACTTAAATAGTAGGCATAAAAAATAAGAAAGTTATGTGTATTTGAATTTTTGAGGGGCGTCACTGAAATGCATCATTTCAAATTTTTTAATTCGACGTATATGGGAAGTAAAGATAAACGTAGACCCTGAATCCGATTTTATATTTTATATTTTATTATTTTATGTTTTATTTACTTACTCACACATTTATAAACAACAATAAAACATCTATGCATAGTCAAATTCACCAAAATTTTTCTGAATTTTCATAAATTTTCCTCCCACATCCTAAGATAAAAAGCGCGAACGTATCTCATCAAATAAATTTTGTCAATGAATGGACCGCTAGCCATAACTCTCCCTAAATGGCCCTCGCTTACCATACACTTTTTTCAGAAAATTTTTAGCGCACTGACTAAAAAGGCAAAAATTATTTGGGGCTAGTTTTCCAACTCAATCTTTTAAAGTCATAATGTAATGTAATAAAAGTTTGCACTGCTACATATAAAGCAAAAATTGATTCAACTAAAATTGGTTTATAAAAAAATCAATCAGACCTAAAAGCAAACATACCTTCATGCTGTTGACCAAGTGATTTGAACTTGCGGTAGCCGTTCAAGAAAGGGCCATACATGATAAGATAGCCACTGTTTGGTAGTTGTTGTTATAAAGTTCAAATCAGCGATTAGAGCGATGGTTCCAGAATTTGGATTGAGAAAAGTAGGAAAAGTAGAAAAGCAGCCTTTAATATTTTTCAATTCAGTTTATTTATTGTTGTTGTTGGGTACATAAAGAATCTAACCAAAAATCAAGTTGAGAAACAAAATCGATTATAGAAAATATGAATTTTTCAGTACTATTAAAAGTTCCTTTTCATACCTTCCCATTGTGGAGCTTTTGATTTTCAACACCTTTAGATTCGTGAGAAGAAATGTTGAGCAAAGTACTTTTTACCTTTTCTTGAAGTTGATCTTTCATGAAACAGAAGTAGCGGCCAGTAGACACTGAGGGCTATCAAGAACCAAAAAGAGCTTTGGATCAATTCAAATACATAAACTAAAAATTTATTGAAATCAATGCACATGTAAGTTTTTTTTCGTCATTCACTGCATCCGATGCAGAATTTCTTCCCCTTTCCAGCTGCCTTATAGTCACTTTCATTAAGAAGGGCTGAAATAGTCGCTGAAGATTGGAACCCTTCGTTTTCACATGTCTGACTTTCGCTAATTTTCAGAATTTTTAACTGAGACTTTCGGGAAAGCTTTGATAGCCAGCATATAGGGCAAACCTTTTGCCAGCTGAAGCATTTTTTTGTATCTCCGTGGCTTGTCTTTCAGAATTGATAAAATTTGATTTTGAAGTAACCAGATTGCATATTCCGCCCATTCTAACCTGGTAGGAGTTGTAATGGGAAACAGTTCATGTACTAATCGATGCAACTTCTTCTCCTCTTTCTAACAATGTCTTTTTTTGGCGAAACAGGCGAAATTTGCGGAGGACATTACGTATTTCTCAGTTTCAGGAGTGCGCACTGATGTACCCTAAGTTTTGAAATCTTCGTATTTTGAAGCAAAAATCGCTCATTTACTTTGCAAGGATAATGACAGCAATGAATCAAGTGTTGAAACGTCAGTATTCTGAAGATTTTGTAGTGTTTCGTGCAGTAGCAGGTTATGTGATTTTACTAAAACTCGAAACTTTTCGGAAATTATTTAGCAAAATTCTAAAAGAGTAGCTGGAAAATGGAAAAAATCTTTGGCTGGCAAAAGGTTTACCCTATCTGATGGTTATTGAAGCTTTCGCAACAGTCACATAAAAAAATTCGAATGCTAGCGGAAGTTGGACATAGTGGAAATGAAGGGCTGTAATTCCTAGTAATTTTTTAAAATTATCTCAGCGCTCTTCAAAACTGTCGCATCGAAAACATAGCTGTGGGAAAGGGGAAAAAATTCTGCATTCGATACTGCTTAAAGCATTTGTTCACCCTTACGTGATTAATTTACGGGTCATTTCAAAAAAGCGACAAAATTTTTGGACCGACCTATTATTTGCGTGGATTATCAATCCCTCCTCCGCCCACTTACTCCTGCTTTATTTAGCTTTCGACTTTGCTTTTTCTACCTTCTGGTTCAAATGATTTTGCAACAATTTGTGTCTCTGTGTCAACAAAACTCTGATTTAGTTACCCAGTTGCAAAGGGCAATCATTTCATTAGTCACATTCAGCTGAAAACATTGAAACTCACTCTATTTTCTTGCACAATAGCAGCTGAAATTTCTAGTAAAATTATTCAAAACTGAATTTAGCGCACTTTTTCATCGACAGCATCGAATTCAGAACTCAAATCGCCATGCAAAGTGATGAATCGTTCTCAGAATCTGCCTGGGCGAAAAGAAGCTATGAAGGTGAACGCCTCGAATGAATGCACCAAGCTTCCTGTCCTCTTATTGACTTCTACTTTCATAGGCCATCATTAGTCAGTCAGTGACAGGATGATCCCTAAAGGGGAGGGGGAGGGGAAGAGAGAGTTAAGTTGCGCGTTGTTTGATCTATTTAGGTCTTGCTGCGAGTTTTCTCGGTTCACTTTGTGTTTTCCCGGACACTCTAACACGTTGACGACGAGCCATTTTTTTTTTGAGGTCTGTCCCTGTGGACGAGACGTTTCCGTGCATCCCTACGCCTGGCCGCATGTATGTATGAATGCGTCCATGCACGAAATAAAATTGCAAGCCCCGCTGCATGTGACAAGCTCAACCCACTCGACCAAATATGTCGAAAATTGCATGCACAGATTTCAAGAATTATGCGAATTCCGCCACTTTCCAAAAATGGGCGAAACCTGCCACTTAGGAGCGGAGTTTTTGACGGAAGGCGGGCCTGGCTAAAAGTTGCTTGAGGTCTTTGCGTTCATCTACGGCCTTATCCACATTTTGCATGAACAAGAAGGATCCCTGTTAGGGGCACAGGATTGGGCGGAGTTTGCTAAAAGGGGCGGGGCTAATAGTCGAAGTACATCTGAGCCTATGTTGATTACATGCACAAAAACTGAGAGGATTGGACAGATAGTATCGAGGCCGCCGCGCACCATTACGGGGCACTGTCGTCAACGTGCTAAGTTTTTTTATGATTGGGAAACGTTCACATGAGCTAAATCGTTAGCCACCATCGCGTTGTCATCCAAAACCGATAGCAACGTCTATTCATTTCCCCGAACAATTGCCGGTGACGTAATTGCATTTTCCTCTTTTTAATTGGATAAGTACTAATCGGAGGGGGTTAGGTTCTGCCTGGACGCTATCTTGAAGCATCAACAAAAATAAAGGTGAAAAATGTCAGAAGTTGCCTACCTGGAAACATGCCACTTTCTTCTATATACGGTAGATACCTTTATTCTTCGCCTTTATTTTCGTTGACTGCGTTTGATGGAAATTTATAGTGCACAAAGCTGGCTGATTGTAGCAGACAACCAATGTTAGTTTTTGCCTGTCACTATTTCTTCCGCCTATTTTTGCTTTTTACCAACAGGATGGTGATAATTAGACTTTGGATGATTTATTTCCCCTATCTTTACGTTCCTCTTTCCATGTTAAGTAGTTTTTGATTTGCTATTCCTGTTAAAAAGCAGAAACTTGGTGCACCTTTGAGCGCTTCGAGAGAAGTTGAGAAATTAACTAGTCATTTAAACAACAAAAAAAGCTAGCTGGAGAACCAGATCTGTTGTTTCTAAAAAAATCTTTTAGCCTGTGCAACTGAGATTTCATCACTTAAAATTCAATGAAATAGGAAATACGCAAGTAGGTTAGGTTAATCAATACATATGCACTTCTCCACCACAGTTGTACAATTGGCAAGTGTTACAAAACTGTATGTACAGGTAGAGCACTAAACAAATATCACCTTCATTTGGCGATTACCAAACAGAAACCAATTTCCTTGAAAATAATTTTTGGAGGATGTTCCCTCACTAGCATCGTTATCCAATTGTATCAATGTTGGCCCTGATATTTCTCGTTCCTAATGTGGTAAGTGTAAAGTCATTTTTTCAGCTTAATGGTCAAATGACTTAGATAGCCGCAGGAAGAAAAGTGACAGTCTACTCTGTAGAACATGCCTATGTTGATTGTCAGCTCAATCATTGCTCTCTTGGTTTGTCCAGCGAAGACAAAGAACTGAACAGAGCGGTTGTCATGACTGCGCAAATGGTCAGTTTTTCGACTGGATTATCTCATTCGCATTTAGCATTAGGTACTACTCTCATAAATGCTTGAAAAGTGGCAAATAATCGAAATTGAATCACTTGCAGAAGGTTTGCTGTGAATGTGTGGTGTATGCAAGGATGTATAGTAGGGATCCGAAGACGAAAGTACCCCCAGCTTATACACCTATCGATATCAGGTTTATTGCAATAATTAAGCTACACCATACTCTCAAAGCTCAGCATTAATCTTCTTCTACAGCTACGATGAATACAGAGGAACCCTGGAAAGCATCTCACAAGTTATTAGGGATAGGGTGGGTTTTGACTGTTGGTTTTAGCTGCACTGAACAGCGTTTGAAAAGATTAGGAAACAGGTTCAAATCTTTTTGGAATGTTTGAAATTTTTCACAAAGAGGATTTTCTACACAGCGGTTAGCTGCTCACAGCCGTTAAGGACCTGTATTCTATATAGCTCTTAGCTTTTCTTACATCGCTTACTGAGATATCAATGTTGACTGAATCAAAATCCAAGGAAATTACTATAACATTTCAGTACTTCTACGCGCAGCCGTCAAGCATGAAAGAAAAAAAAGTCGGATGCTTTCCCAAAGCCAAAAATGTAGTGGGAAAATTTTTGGAAATATTCAAAGTTAATCATCTGGATCTTGTATGCGTAGTCAAAATGCACTAAAGTTTAATGACAGTTGGTTGCTGATTTAGAAGATATTTTTTACGTTTTTTCTTCCATTCGTTGCTCAAGAGTCGGAAACTAAGCGAAGATATTTGGTCAGCTAAAACATTTCTCTCAAAATTTTATCTACAAATGAAGGATTGTGAATTGTGAGTGAACATATGCTTGTGCTTACAAAAATCGTCAGACTGGAGGAATTTCTTTTGTTCAAATTAGATTTGTAATAAAAGGATAGAATCAGAAACTGGAATTCAAGCACCAGCTTAAGTGAAGTTGTAAGAATCGATGAGAACAAAGGCACATATTTGTTTTTGTAAAACAGACCGTTATCTGCTTAGATGATGTGAGAACCATATAACAGGTACGATTAAAAAAATTGCAAAAAGTCATAAAGTATGTGATGTATTATTAGACAGTCAAAGGGACAAGTAGCAAGCTAAAGACATTCTCTGTAAAGTGATGGACATTTTACGCTTATCACGTTTCGGAACCGTGGAGCAAATCCGTGCTTTTATCCTTTAATTGATAAAAAAAACCTCATTTTGTGGACTGAATATGTATCTGTAACCAACATGTCAAATAAGCTTTACCATCAGAGTTCAGAATGGATTAGATGTCTTTGAATTTAGACAAGAGACAAACAAGAGAAGAACTGCTGTGTTCTCCTGGAAAGCAGACTCAAAATATTATTCTCACTGACCGTATTCATCAACGAATCCACTGGGTAAGGTCGTTATCCACAAGTGCTCCACTGGGTTCGTTGACCTTAAATGTCAGCAGGGTACTTACTGGCATGTATTAAAGCATGCCCTGGCCTGTTTGCGGTGCATGTGTATTGGTGAATTCCGCGTGTATTCAACTTCGTATTTGCTCAAATTTGTCTTGGATACATATCTAAGCAAGTAGCATAATGCTCACAATCATACCATTGGTCGCAGATTGGCAGATTGGCAGATTTTTACACGCTGCTTAAACTAATTGCAAATTTAAGATGATGGCTTTTACAATCAGAGCACACCATCGTTAAGACTATTGAACAGGGTCCGGCACAAGTCAGCTTTTAGGGTATTTGGAAATCATCCCTAAATCTCGAAAATTTTACGAAGTCTTCTCTGGCCCGTATCGGAAGCCTATCAACTCAGGAGAAGATGGAAACATAAAAGAGCCACTATTCTGAAAGGAAATATGAGTGAAAATGGAAAGTAGAGCGGAGTACTGCGCAAGCACAAAAGCTTGTCATTGGAGCACGATATCTAGCAAAGTAATGATGAAATCAAGGCAAAAAGGGAAAAGCAAGGATATGAAGGTTTTTTTTCATGCTTAGCGATAAATTGTTGATTGAAGAATCCGTCCGTGATAGAAAAATCCGAACCTTATTTGCATAATTCTTCCGTAAATAATATTCTATGCCTACAGTCCCAATTTTGGTGTCATATGCTTGTCTCTCGGCTGTAAACAAAAGTTTGTCAATTTTGGCTTTGCTTTCAAATCGCGCGCGCTTTTTGCAAGCACGATAGAGCATGTCCATCGCGTAAGAACCTGCATCTCCACCGCGTAAGAACCTGTCTTCAAAGGTTGTGCTTGCTGAGTAATCGCTTTTGGCGCTACAGAAAGTGTGTTGAATTGTCTTGCACACTGTATGTGCAGTTTTCCTCCACATGTTGCGCTGGTAATGCGTGTACACATTTTTTTTACGGAGCTCCGCCCCAGACCCCGCAAAACGATATCTCCTTTGCTTTTTGTTTCAAAAACGATGAGCTTGCTTTCAGACGATCTGTGCAGGGCTCTGCTACTGAATGTATCGATATTTGCCATTTTTGTTTAAGCTCTTCAAGCTCGCAAATTTCAAAATTTCAAAGGCAGTGGCTCGGCAAATCTCAACATAGTCAAATTTTTGCTTATCTGGGGTTATTCAATACGCTGTTTCCGAAAATCCACTTTTGAGAGCTTGAAAATGCCAGAAACGAGCGTTTTTCAATGCCCTTCCCTTTGGAATTGGACTGGTGCTGCAAGGCTGATGACACCGAATCGTTGCAGGAATGGTTATAGCATTGCTGCGGGCAGCCAATGGTAAGAAGGAAATTACCAACTCGTCCAGATGCGTGCAAGAATGGCCTGCGCGTGTAAGTTTGAGAGGAATTTTCTTGGCAAGGAAGCATGCTGTGCAACCGGGATTGCACTGTTTTCAAACTTGGGCAACAAGGAGTCTACCGCGTTAAAATTTAGAGTTGTTGAGTTTTGCCGAGCCACTGACTTTAAAGCGAGATTAATCGCGCTACGATAACATTGCGATTGTCCTAGTGATCTGCAGTTTCCAATTGAACTTCCTGTGAGTAACAAATTTAATAGAGGGTGTACAGATGCGTTGATCACGCACCATTCAAAAGATGCAAGGAGGGTGGAAAGAAAGTACATACACTGGCAGTCCAAGCATCACTTTCGAATATGGTCTTATATTTCCTTCAGACTCTGGTATGAACATTTTGAAGTGTTGAACCATAACAGGGCTGTGATGTTCAGGTTTATTTGGTGCATGTACTGGTGCAGATAAATCGATGAGGACGAGTTACAATACAGTAATACATAGTATGCTGCATAAAGTGAATGACACATGAGCAAAAAAGTCGTGATTTTAGAGCGCTGTACTAATCACGGAATACTATAGATGTAATAGAAGAAAACCATTACTACATTAATCTAGAGAGTTCCTACTCGTGAAGATCCGTAGGACACCAAATATCAAATGCCTGAGAACCTGACTGAAAAACCGTACATATGAGACAACGTGACATGAGCACTTAAAGTTTGTAATACTGAGAGAGTAACAAGATGAACCATGCCAGATAGAGTATCAGCTGAGATCGAGCTGATACGTGTTAAATACATGCAAGCTAGAAATTTAGGCGCAAATCATGACCTTGGTTATGTGGTGCACAACGTGAGAGATACCAGAATTGAAACACGACTACCTATATACCAGTGAGAAGATCTGTGGGTAGAGGAAGAAATATGGGGGTTGGGTAGCAGCGTAAGGTTTTGTTTAATTTCCATCCAGACTCGGTACGAGCCGATTATAAGAATACGAAGTCCCCCTTGATTTGGAAAATTCTGCGGGAAGTCCCTTTGACCCTAAACCCTAAACGTAAAAGTTCTTAAAAACGAAACGTCGACTAAAAAACGAAAGGAACTGCAAGAGTTTATTTGCATTCATAGCAGCACCTATGTGTTTGCTGATATGGACCCAATGCATTTGCTTGGCTCATCAACGCCGCCCATCCTAAATCGGTTCCTCGTACGCACAAATAATTATTCTTTCAGGAAAAGGGCTATGTTTCAGTTGCAACAAATACAAAAATTCGAAGAACAATTCGAAAATAATTAAACGATGCAAGAATACGAGGACGACTTATGTAAATATGGAAACTTATGTGAGGAAAGGGTCGGTGCCAGTTCAGCTGGCACCCAGCTTTTTTCTGAATCAACTAGCACGGTGTCAGTTGACTCGGAAAAAAGTTTGGCACAGCTTTCATTTACATAAATTTCCATAAATTTTTGGGCCATAGTTTGTGTACACGCGCATGAGGCTCCAAATTTGGTGTCACATGATTGCATTTTGTTTGTAGACAAGGCTTTTGTTTGTTTTGAGCAGAATTCACGTTCCCGCGCTGTTAGCACCGGCATGTCGGCGGCGTACCGACGGCATGCTGTTGTCATGCGAGTGGCGTACTGGTGGCATGCTAGTAGGCAGGGGCATAAAGACTAAGCATGCTGCCGGTAGGCCGGCGGCTACCCTTGGCATTTTAGCAAACAGTGGCAGGCTAACCCGTAAAAATCATATCCTCTTTGCTTTTGGTCCCAGAAACAATGTCCAGCTTGACTCGGTGCCACTTGTGTCGAGCAATGTTTTCATCTATCGGCTTGTATCACTGTAGTTTGCTCGCAGCCCAAATCGTGAGCGAGAGAAGCGGCGCCATTCTGAAGGAATGGGAAGTTAAACTTACATAGATGCCCTGGTCTGCAGGCTTTGAAAAGAAGTTCAAACCTTTCTCTAAGTGTCGCACATATAAGAGGGTGTGCAGTTGACCCCGACTGGGAAAAAATTAAGCGTGCGCGCATAGAAAGTTTTATGCAGTAGGGCCTTCTCTATTCTGTCTAAGAGAATTGCGCAAGTGATCCTATGCCGTATTGATCGGTTTTCAATTTTGCAATATTGAGGTTGTAGTGTCTACCTTTCACGTAAACCACGTCGGTTACAAAAAGTAAGGAGAAGTTGCCTTACTAATTTCTAGCAAGCCTTCAGTATGGCAGAGCTAAAGTTGCTGTGTCAGTTAACTTGACATCTGCCGACGAAAGACGTTTAAGAAACAAAAGTCGTATGGATTTCTGACTATTTTAGATCGATGTTTCGAATGCGGGCTATTTTGCGCTCCGCCTCTAAGATAAAACGCTGAACGTTTGAGTCTGCTTTCGGCAAGGATCCGCGAAAGTAGTTGAGCGGCGAAAAGGGTTGGCAAGGATTTGGTCCTTCCTTTGTAAGCGCATTTTGCTGGGTAAAGATTTCTGGCTTTGCAACGAACAGTGGGGAAATTTCTGGACTTTCTTTTCCGTAAAAATTTGCAGCTTCGCTTCGCATGATTTGATTGTAGCCGTGGCTTTGCAGACGATTGCAACCACGGCTACAATCGTCTGCAAAGCAATGGTTTTCACCGAGTCGACAGACTCCAGATCTAAACGATTCGCCACTGGCTGCTCTGTCGTAGAAACATGGTGTTAAAAAAAAGAATAAGAATAACCTTTCGGGAGGTAAGGAGGGCCGCGTATGCCTCCAGATGGCTGGATGCCACATTTCTTGACTAAAGTTCTTGAAAAAAATTACCATTATAGCGAACATTTATTCAGTTTTCGATACCTCAACCAGCCAACCAGCCAATAAAGATGCTCAGATTGTTTACGCCAGGCAAATCGTTCCTTCAAACATTGTTAGTGTCAATGTGTCGCTT